CATTTCATATTTCTCTAAATAATAAAATAACCCAAATCACTCTTTTCTAGTAATGGTGCATTTTAAAAAGTACTTAAGTTTGCCTTTCTTTTGATGTTGCAATAAAGCAATTTTAATGACTGCTTCTGGTTCCTTTGGTTTGTACCCTTTGCCTTTACTATTCCAAGCTATTTATCTTTTGTTGCTTTCTTTATGTTATTTTCATGATTTATATTCTCCCACTTTAAAGAAAAGAGAACATGTGCTCTTGTTCTTTCTTGTACTTGCATTTCCTTTTTGATACTCTTATATTAAATTAATCTTACTTTATAGTACAAGATAGAAACTCACTATTAAAATTATCAACAAAAAAAAGAGCATTTCAAATCATCTTAGGGGAACTAGTCAATGCTCGATCAGTACGGTGCGTATATATAACATAAGTTTTTTCTAAGCAGTATCAACTTGTTATGACAACTCAACTCATATTTGAGTTAGCTAGAGAGTGAAACATGTAAATGTTCTAAAAATTTACTTATTACATATCCCAAATTAGTGTTGGTCTACAATATATATGTAGGGATAGAGCTAGCTAGGGAGAAGATAGTTCGATTGAATTTCCTTTATTGAAATATTATATTGTATAATAAGTTATTATGAAGTTTTTTGAGTTGTGAATAAGATGCAGAATCCCTTAATATGAGAAAATTGGATGAAGCAATGTCGGATGACATACTACCGATTGTGAAAACAAAGCTAGTCTTCGGGTTACAGGGAAAGACAAATTTAGGATTTCTACACATGAGTGTACCACTAGAGATAATATATATTTAGTGATAATTGATCCCTAGTTTTCTAGGTAAATAACTTAACTTTCAACCAAGTGCACTATTTAACTTTCTTGTAACATAAGTGTCATCAAATAATATTATAATAGCTTTTAGAGAATATATACATAAAATACCTAGTTTTACGGAGAGATTATGAATTCACGTACTCCATATTTTATATGTAATTATTCACCCCTGGTTACAGGTTCAGTAGAACCAGTAGTTTTGACTCAAACCACGTATTCATATTAGAAAGTCCATTGAATATGTACTCATTAGGAATTCATATCATATGGTTTAAATCACGACTCCGTCTCTTATTGATTGGAAAATTGGACAGATGTAGAATTGGAATTGGTGAGTAGTTGTTGACCCTAGAGTGAAGGCACTGGCTTAAAATAAAAGGAGATAGCAATGACCACAGAATGATATTCCTTATGGGAAGAAAAGGACTTGTTGGGGTTTAAGAAAAAAAGGTGAGATTCTTCTTAGGGAAATGGAATTTTAGAATCTTAACTCAAAACTAAAGTGTTTGGGACATTATTCTCAAGTCAAGAATTTCTTCCTTATTCCTTTTCCTATTTATAGGCCACTAATAATGGGTTCCTATAGCCCCATTATTCCTTTTTACCCTTTTTAACTTTTCTTAAATATTCCTTTAATAAATATAATACTTCTTAACTATCAATATGTATATATGATTTGGTTCAAAATCATGTATATTTATGCTAAATATGTATAAAAATTTAATTTAGAACTTATTTACTAGCGTTTGATGTTGCTGTTATGGAATTCAAAACTCACGAAGTTTAAATTCAGAACTCTTTACGACTCTTACTTGTGTAGTACCATGGCTCGTGCATTGTCTTAATCACGACTTGAATCATAATATTTGAGCTATGTTCATCGAGAATATGTCGCAACCATGAGGTTTAATTCTTGGCAAGGAAAAAATACTAGCTGGTCATTTCTTTTTCATTTGTTCAAGTCTTGGTGGACAGAGTTACTTGATACATGTACTGGTGAGAGTGAGAGGTTGTAGGTATATCGTAAAATTAGTCGAAATGCACACCACAGTTTATTTTATTTTTTAAAAATACGATATCAAAATTAAAAAAATTTGAGGCACGTCAAGATGTTGCAAAGTTTGCTTCTTCGAAAAAGAAAAAAAAAAGAATGAAGCGTACCTTCAAACGTACGTTATTTCTAATGAAAAAGCGGAGGCATAATGAGCCGACGATACATTATGATTTGTTTTGTACATGTATCTAAAATTCAATTTTAAATTTCGTTATTTGGTAGACAACATTCATTACTAATTTTATTTATTAAGTATTTCTTTTTAAAACCTGTTTTGATATGTTTTGCTTAAGCCAATGGTCTATTGAAAATCATTTGTATATCTTCGCAAAATAAAGATAATATTTGTGTACACACCACTGATCTTCCCAGAATCCATTTGTATATTACGCTTGGTATTTTTGCTATTGTTGTTGTTATACTTATTAACCTTCAAGAAAAAAAAAATCAGACATTGCTCAAGTCTTTGTAAATGATAAAAATGAATGCAAAATGACAAACACCGTCGTTATAAATAAGTTCATAAAAAGATACATAGTTTTTTTTATTTTACTGTATAATAAACCACTTATATTAGTAAAAAATATGGATTTAACACACTAATTTTATCAAGCTTTTGTAAAAAAGAAGGCATGTTGCCAATTAGCTTTTATTAACAATCAACAAAGAAAAAAGATAATGTACATCATTTTTATAGTATAAGCTTATGCTAAAACAAGAAAATTGCTAATTAGAATTGAATTTTTAAGTTTTACAATTGTGTCAACTAAGTCAAAAAACTAATGAAATCTTCTTCTTTGTAGCAGATTTGATGGGAGTTATATATGGTCAACTACATCTGTCAGTGGATTAATTAGTCTTCAATTATCCCACTTCATATTCATTTTCTTAATTAGAGGTGACAAAAATAGTCCAACAATATATAACCCACCCAATTCGACAAAAATAGTACAGTCCAACAGTATATAATCTACCCAATTCATCCAACTTTTAACGGGTTGAACATGAAATGGGTTGATGGTCATATATATTCTTAATTTTCATCCATGCATAGTAATCATAACGCCCATCACTACATCACTAAATATTTTGATAAAATTAATCAAATTACCTTACGTGGAGGTCTTAGATTTAAGTTCTGAAGTGAAAAAGTTTCTAGTAGGGCGCACTTGGCCTCTTAACAGGTCTTACATGCCCGAATTAGTTGGAATTTAACTCCCATTGCCCGGCATAGCCAACAAACAACAATTCTAGTGATAATCCGAAATATAATAATAAAGTAAACACTTAATCATATTAATTTACATAATTAGCAAGGATAATTTGAATAAAATTCAACAATCATTATTGTCATGAACAAAAGAGGATTTTAATTTCATGTTATCAAAGTCTTTGTTACACTTCAAAACAGCACCTAACAACCTTAACATCTGCTCTTTGTTTATATATATTTCCATCAGATTGAAAAGCTACTCTTATGCTTTATAGTTGTAGGAACAATTACATCTTTAATGGTTAATTGCGTTTATCTTTGCACCTATTACCCTTTTGATTTTTCTAAATAAAGCCGATTTACACACTAGTCTCTTTAATTTATTATCAATTATCTAATTTCTTTGGTTGATCATTATAAATATAAAATTCGATCTAAAAAATAATAAAATAAAGAAAAATATATTAAATGAACTCATGAGTAAAATTGTAAAGTAAACAGAATGATACTATAATGATCTAACCAGTCAATCAAATTCAATGGTATTAATCCTTTATAGTTGTAGGAACAATTAAATTTTGAACCTGATTATTATTCATCTAAAATTTAAGTTGAACAATAACTCCTAGCTACGATTTGAACATTTCGCCATTGAGTGGTTAATTTATGAATGATAACTTAAATATGAATAGATTTTTACTTGGGTCAAATTAAATTATTATATATCATTTAATTTATTTTTATATATTGTGTGTTTTAATCTCATTACCCAACATATATTCAATATAACATTATAAATATTTTTTTTTTTTTAAATAGCGTGTACATAATCTTATTCTTACAGTGTGAAAGACGTAAATAAACGTATTGCAAACATATTTAGGACTTGTGATGTTTTGTCCCATGACATCTCTAGAAAGGATCAAGTAAAAATCACAACCATAATAATCATGAAACAACAATATAAAAGAAAAAAGCAATTATTTAATTGTATCTTTATGACTATTTATTTTATCTGTTATTACAAATCTTTTTTTTTTTTTTTTGAAGTAGTGCTGAATTTCAAATAGAGAACCTATTTATAATTTAAAAAGAGAAAAGACAGAAGAACATTTAGAGAAAAGAACACAATGTGTATGGTATGTGGGAACTGGGAAATACTCCCAATTATGTTTGATTGAGAATTTTTTTTTGATTTTTTTTTTTATAAAAAAAATAAGGAAAATGTCATTAGCGGTTGGATATTAAACGGATTTGAACTGCTTTATTCGATCCTCAATTCCTTTACGAGGTTATTGAAATAGAAGAAAGAGAGAGAGTACAAAAAAAGAACTGCTACCGCTTAGGCTAGAAATAAGACCATAAGGTTCGAATGAAATAGAGAAAATAAGTTCTTCAAAACTATATTAATTATGTCCTCGTCAATCTTCAACCCACCTCCTTCCCTCTCCTCGCACCAACAGCTCACTTCCTGCTCTCTACTTATTTTTAGTGTAATATTTTTTTTTATTCAAATAACAAATATAAATGAATAAATAAGAAACTTACATATTTTTTTGAAAAAATATTTTTCTTTCTACCGAAAACATTCTTAAATAGAGGAAAAATTGAAAGAAACGAAATATGGAAATTTTGGATTAGGTTTTCGATACTTAATTTTTGTTATATTTACCTTCATAATTTTTTTTCCATTTGTCCGATTAAATCTGAATCCGTGTCAAGAAAGTTCCGGAGTAAAGCGTGCTCTGTACTAAAGGGGACAAATTGAGACCGCTAATTAAAGATGAAAGAATACTTATCACTCTATCACAACCCTTGTTCGATCACAAGTCAAACGTATTTTATGGATTTTTTTTTAAAAATTATTTTGTTTCATTTCATGCTTGTCAAAAGCCCTAAACCCCAAAGCTCCATTTCGCAGCTTGTTTGAGGAGAAAACACACAGAGTAAAGAGACAGAGAATGAAAATGCATAAACTCAAAGCTTTGCTATCACTGAGTAAACCCTTTCGGAGAAATGATTCGAGCTTCTTCCTCTCAAATCATTATTGTAGACAGTTTTCTGCTCAACCCAGCTACGCCGATTATCTTCAAGAACAGGTTCATTTTATTCAACATTCTTCGTAATTAACTTGTTTGTGCTAACACAAATATGCTTTACTAAATTTGGCGAAGTGAAACACCAATTACTTGTTATTGTTGTTGCAGGTTTTGGTTGAAGGAAGGGCTAAATCAAGAGCAGCTATTTTAAATAGACCATCTGCTCTTAATGCTCTTACGCCTTCTATGGTTCGGCATTTTCCCCTTTTGAAGAATTTGTTTGTTTATATTTCTGTAAAGCTGTAATTGACCCTATTTTGAATGTTAGGCTGGTCGATTAAGTAGATTGTATGAGTCTTGGGAGGAAAACTCAGATATTGGATTTGTAATGATGAAGGTAATGATACATTGTACTAAAAAGAGTTTCTTTTTCACCTTCCTGTTATGTTAATTTCTTTTGTTGGTTTTATTTTTCTTTTTAGTTTATTTCAAATTAAAGGACATTTAGTTACATTTCTTTAGTTTAAGATTACATTATACAAGATTTAGAAGTCGATTTGTATCTTCTTAAACTCCGTGCCAAGTCAAAATCAGGCAAACAAATTGAATTGGAGGAAGTATTTTGAAGGATCAGAGTTCAGTTTATGAAATTTGGACATTCTAGCTAATAATGAAGTTTTTGATTGAATTTATTGCAGAGCAATGGCAGGGCATTCTGCTCCGGAGCAGACGTCGTCACACTTTATGAGTTGATTAATGAAGGTGTGTGTTTGCTTTTAGTTTTGTTTCTTTTTTCTTGTGTTTTATCATTTTCAAGGTGTAATTTCCTAAGTGCGACTGATAAAATATTCCCTGTGATGATCAACTACTCCAACAACAACAACAACAACAACAACATACCCAGTGAAATCCCACTAGGTGGGGGATGATCAACTACTCCCTGGCTTATATTTTTTTTAATGATAAAGTACAACTATGCTTAAGTTTTTTATTAAAGCAAAGATTTTGGAATTGATTAATTTTTTTTATGATCAACTCCTCTCTGTTTTCCACTTGCTTGGGTGTAAATATCACTCAAAGTTAATGAGTATTAATGTGTTAGAGGCACCCAAGGGTATGACTTACCGACAATAAAGTTGGATTGGACTATGGAAGACCACTATTCAAATTCCAACAGAGACAAAGCCACACCTTTGGGTGCATCTATTGGAATTTGAACCCAAAGGTGATCCTCTATGCTGGACAAAGTTACTCGGTAACTGTGGGGGAGATAGGTGACATGTATTTGGTAAGATTAGTAGAAGTGCGAGTAAGCTGGACATAAAATATTAATCCTTCTGTTCATTTATGTGTCACCATTGCTATATGTTAAAGAGGTTTTCTTTGACCATACTTTTCTTAAATATTTTTTTTATGTATTTAGAATTATTATCTATCAGACTTGTAGTACTTTAATGTATGTTTCAAACATGTAAATGTTATTTAAAAAATACTTGAAGAATTTAAGTCCTAGTGGACACCCAAAAATTATCTAGATTTACCCTTGAACTCTGTACCCTGCCACATATGATGGAACAGTGGGATTATTGTGTTAGAGAAATACTTATTTGTGTTTTTACTAAAGGTGTAACATTTGCAAATTGTCAAAATGAGGAGCTCTACAAGAAACAAATTTAACACCTAAGCAGAACAATTCTTTCCAACAACCTACTGTGTGAGAATGGGTCATTGTTAATCCCACTGTTCAAACTGTTAATCTATGTAGTTTGTTTGAGTTTCTTGCTTCATAAGAGGAAACTAGCAGAATGATCATGACAAGACAAGCTGCCATTTTTGTGAACCTCTCCTTGCTTCACCAAATGAGTCGGGCTCAGAAATATAATCAACATATTTTATTGACTCAGTGCCCCAAGGGTACGGCGTAGTAGTCAATGAAATGGGAGGAGAACCATGAGGTCTCACGTCAAATCCCAACGGAGACAAAACAATATGTGATGTCGTCCTATTTGTCTAAACCTTGGTAGAGAGAGTTACCTCGTACCTATTGCTGGTGGGAGGTAGCAAGTATCCCGTTGAATTAGTCGAGGTGTGCGCAAGCTGGTCCGGACACCACAGTTATCAAAAAAAATATAGTTTATCGACTCAGCTTCTTCTTAGTGCTGGTATTTTACTTTATATTGCAACTGAAGTCCTAGATGGACCTTGTAAATTCCTATAGTTTGAGGAGAATACCAGAGCATTCCTACACTTGCTCACAGAATCCTTTGTTTTAAGGATAAATGGTTAATTTTTAAGTTATTGCCTGTGAAACTGTTGGCAAACATTTTCTTAGATGCACTTTTCTGCAGGGAAGGTTGAGGAATGCAAGAAGTTCTTCCAGACATTGTATAAATTCGTTTACCTGTTAGGAACCTATCTCAAGCCAAATGTAAGTAGTACTCTTTTCTTTTTCTTTTCATATTGCATTGTCAGTGAGGTTGGATATTGAGTTTTCTCATCAAAATGTTGTATCTCCCTTCTCTTATTGGGAGATCTCGATAGATGTTCCTCTGCCTCACCGCTTGTATCAATGCATTGGATTTGAATTTCTGTTTGAACTGTCACTTCATTATTATCTATCAGCACAATTTTATTGTCTAACTTGACATATAATCCATAAAAGGAAACACAACATATAGGTATTAGGTAGAAATATGTCAAGACTCTGCTCAGTAAAACTTATATACACCATATGTACTTGGAAGACATCAAAACGGTATGGGAGGTGTGACTTCTTCAAAAATATTGTCATGGCCTAAAACATAATAAGAATCCATACATAAATTTTCTACTGCATACTGGAAAGATACTCCGTCTTGGTAAATTCATTTTCCACTACCAGCGTTCTCAGTAACTTAATTTGCTGACCTCTTTTCTCATCTCTGAACACCTTGAGTAAAATGGTCATTACTTTGTGTAGCAAAGTCTAAGTGATGAACTATTTGGAACATTGAAAAGGAAACTAGACTTCCTTGACTAGAATTTTGCTTCAGAAACCATGACGAAGTTCCTTCTATAGTAAGATTTGTGCAGCTAGAAGTAGTCAATGCATCCTTTTAAATCTTTTGATTTTCACTCAACTTACTCTTGTATTCTGTGCACTTCTCCAGCCTCCTCTCTTTAAAAACAATATTATGACACAGTACTATTCTGAAAATGAAAATGCAATGTCTGGCCTTTTTTTTTTTGTGTAAACAAAAATACATGGAAGATGTAGAATCTTTTGTTGATGTCTTAGGAACTTTGTAGTAAAGTAAGGACATGGAATCTTCATGTATCACTCTTGTAATTATGGATGCTGAACTAGTTTGGTGCAGCTGGATTATATATAACAATGTTACGTTCTAAAAAGCGACAACATTGTGACACTACCACATGACCAGATATGGTAACTCATCCATTCAGAAGGAGAGATAGAAGATTGTCCCTGCCTGCATTTGGTGGACAGGAAAGAAAGGAATCAAAGATGCTTTGAAGATAAACATAGTATTATAAAAGCATATAATATGCTTTAAGTAATAGCTAAGACATGCAATATGTCAGAGTGTGACATAGTAGGCCATTGCATCATCTTAAAATTTGACTTCTGAATTAACTTTTTAGCAAACTTTAGCAGACATGTTTAAGTCAAGAATTATTGATCATTATGCGCAGGTGGCTATTTTGGACGGTGTTACAATGGGAAGTGGGGCAGGTATTTCGCTTCCAGGAATGTTTCGCGTTGTAACTAATAGAACTGTACGTACCTGCTTCCTTTATGCCGATTATGACACCAGTTCCTTATCTGATTAATTTGAAAGACGCCTTATAAATGACAATATTTTGGTGGCATAACGGAAGAAAGTTCTTTTGCATGATTATTCTTTCCAGAGTTGTATTGATTTTTTCAGAAGTGAAGGGTATAGAATGCCTTAATGGACAAGCCATCAACTATTACCTGTTACACTGGGAGAAGTGCAGTTGAATCCCCCCCAATACATTTTAACTATCAGATATAAGGAAAACTATAATCGTGTACTGAATAAGCTATGTTTGATGCTTGGGTAGTGAACCCTTATTTTGTGATAAGGCTCCAGTGATAATGCATGGTCAAATGCACTATTTTTCAACTAAGGATTTTACTCTGTCAATATTTGAATTCTATAAGATGTCAATATTTCTATTGGTCAAAAAAGCTTCTTTTTGTAATTGTATCCTTTTCTTGAATAGTGAGCACATAGAGTGACTTCTTGGATAAACCTTCATCTTATCAACTTTTGCATTGGGAGAAGTCCAGTTGGATGGTCCCTATCCTTTTTCAACTATCACATATGAGGGAAATTATGGTTTTCATGCACGAAATAAGTTATGTTTGATGCCTGAGTGGTAGTGCCAGTTCTTTCACTATAATCATGCACTGAATAAGCTATGTTTGATGCTTGGGTAGTGATACCCAACTCTTAATTTGTGATAATGCTCCAATGATAATATATGGTCAAATGCACTATTTTTCAACTAATGATTTTACTCTATCAATATTTGAATTCTTTAAGATGTCAGTATTTCTGCTGGTCAGAAAAGCTTTTCTGTATGCCCTTCTTTTTGTAATTGTATCCTTTTCTTGAGTAGTGAGCACATAGAGTGACTTCTTGGATAAACCTTCATCCTATCAACCGTTGCATTGGGAGAAGTCCAGTTGAATGGTCCCCATCCTTTTTCAACTATAACATAAAAGGGAAATTATGATTTTCATGCACGTAATAAGTTATATTTGATGCCTGAGTGGTAGTGCCAATTCTTTCACTTATTGTGATGGTTGAGTGGTTATTTGCTATGTTGTTCGGGCTCTTCAAATGTATCATTGTGTGTGTGTCGGATCCTCCAAAGGCTATGCACTTTTAAAAGATCCGACACCGGTGCGGCAATATCTTTGGAGGGTTCGGGTAACATAGGTTATTTGGGGTCAGATGCACAGAAGAGCTCACTCAGCTTATTACTTTTTCAATAAGTTGATTTTGAGTGTTCAATGCTGCCTTTCATTTCTGCACTTTTTTTTCCAAATATTCTCTAGGATGAGGATGTTTAGTTTTCAAACATTGTTTTTCTTTACTTGTATTCTCTTTTGTTCGGAAGGAAGTATTGTTTTCCTTAGAATCTTTGCAAACTTGTATGCTCTTTTATCAAATTTTTAGAAATATTTTATTTTAGTCTAATATATATAGGTAATATTATCTTAAAAAGTTCTTTGTGAGAAATATAGGAGAAGAATATTATTGAATTGTGTATCTACATTATTACATAAAGACCCTATTTATTGACACTACAATATAATCCTTTACCAAGTAGGAAACTATATACTATTTCTATTCCTATTCCTATTTCTATTCTAAGTAGGATTGTATATGCCTATTCCTATTCTAACACTCCCCCTCAAGCTGGTGCATACAAGTCATATGTTCCTAGCTTATTACAAATGTAATTATATGAGGACTGATGAGGGGCTTAGTGAGATATCTGCAAGTTGATCACTCAACTTTCCAAAATTGACTGTTAATTTCAATGTGCTTAGCCTTCTCATGAGATACTGAATTTGATGCATAATGTCAATCAATCTCAATGTGCTTGGTCTTCTCATTAAATACTGGATCTGATGCATAATGTCAATAAAACAGACTGATAAATATTGGATCTAATGCATAATGACATACACTTCAGAAAAGCATGTTGTATGATATGTTGGCTTAAATTTTTTTTTGATGTGATATTCTTTCCCTTAATACTGATCAGTGCCCTAAACTTACAAATGAAAATGGCAAAATCATTGCAGGTTTATTCTAATCCCGAGGCTCAAATTGGTTTCCATCCTGATGCAGGCGCTTCTTATTATCTTTCTCGCCTTCCTGGCTATTTAGGCAAGTTTAATAAGATATTACTGATAAGTAGATTCCTATGTGGTGCTACGCTTGTTAGTATGTAAACTAGAAAACTTAACCAGAAGTAACATCTCTGTTAGGAAAAGTGACTTGATGTGCCACATTCTATTATCATCTTATTGTTTTCTACTTTGATATGACTATTCATGCAACACATTTGTGCAGGGTGAAACTGGTGATGCGTCTCTTTGTTGATGAGGTGCATTGATTTCTGCATTGTCCATTTAAGTCATCCATATATTTGGATGACTGGGGGGGGGGGGGGGGGGCTCGAATCTTCATTTCTTGATGGTTCAACAGTGGCCCCTTGATTGATTTATTTATTTATTTACTGGGAGTCATGAGTTGAACATAAGTTTTTAGCTTGGTTGGTATTTTCTCTGTTTCAGTTGTCCCTTTTCTATGGTTGTATTAGATTACTTTTCTCACACCACCAAACAGTGGCGTTTCTAAAGGGGACTAGGTTTACGTGAATCCATGTTCCCTCCGTAGATCATGCATACTACTATTATATTTTTTTCAAAGTACTTAATATATATGTGTGCATCCAAGCTTAAAGTATCATATAATTTGATCGTTATTGGGTGAACCTCTCTAAGAGAGGTTAGGAGTTCAAATCTCATGTCTATTTTGTAGTTTTTTTCTTTCTTTTTCTAGAATTGGGTGCACCGTTCTAAGTGATTATTGGTGTCACTTGTGTTTTAATTAAGTACTTTTTTTCTTTCTTATTTGTTTGATGTATTCTTTCAAAATTTTCAAGTCTGGACACATTGAAGTTTCTAATTTTCTTTTGTCACTGTTAAATTTTATATAATTAAGCCAAATGTGTACATTAACTCTAGTAGACAGTAGTAGTGGATGATGTAGTGGATTATGTAGCATATAATCAATGGGTTCAATTGATATCATCATCTTTGATGCAGAGTTAGCTATAAATGTAAAAAACTATTTAGAAAAATAAGAATTTTGAACCTATAACTTCAAAAGCATAATGAATTCAATTGTAAGAACCTATAGGTTGAATTGGTCAAATTTATATCTTGGATCTACCTCTTCGTAAAAGTGCACCCATCTTCTTGACATCCTATATCCACCTCTGCCACCAAAGGAATTGATTGTTTTGATGAACTCTCTTTATTTCTTTTGTTGGATTAGTACTGCTGAAGTCATGCTGGTTGTGAAGTTATTTTTATACTGTTACCTAAAGTTTGAAGCTAGGAGTTTAATACTGGCATCTCCTTCCTTACAGGGGAGTATTTGGCTTTAACAGGGGAAAAACTTAATGGTGTAGAAATGATTGCTTGTGGTCTTGCTACCCACTATTCACACAGTGAAGTTAGTGATAAGTTAATTTGTAATTTATATTCTCAACTCTTGTTCTACTTTTTTTTGGTAGTTCTGATCTTTGCTGTTCCAACAGAGGCTTCCTTGGATAGAAGAACGCCTTGGTAAATTGATCACAGATGATCGGCTTGTCATTGAAAATTCTATAGCTCAGTATGGTGACATTGTTTACCCAGAAACGAGGAGTGTTCTTCACAAGTAATGTTCTATCTAAATTCTCCTTGTTTCCCCTCTTCCATCATTATATTTTCTCTAACTTGAACTTTGTGAATTCTGTGGGCTCTACTCAATTATATGGATTTTTAGGGGACCCAGAGTAAATTACTCTAGGATTCATTGTAGTGATTCTTTTAGTCTAAGTTGCTCGGACTCTCCACTTTTTCAAAAGATGGTGACATGTTTTAGAAACTCTTGATGGTTTGGTTTGTCACTTAAAATTATACTCCTCTATATGAGTATAGCTATGGATGTGCTATGTCTTATTATCTCCACTAGATTCTTTCGACTTGCAACATCAACTGATAAATATCCTCCCCCTCGTCCTCAAATTATTTGCTATTAGAATTGCATCATGCAATACACATTGTGAGATGTCCCACATTCGTTCCGAGAATGAAGTGTTGTTTCCTTATATGATCTTGACAAATCTTCACCTCTTGAGCTAGATTTTAAGGTTGAGTAAGGGTGAACAGTCCATTCTTGTAACATGGTATTCATATTTTATTATTGGTTTGCCTAGTGTTGGATTCCAAGTTGTATTATCCATGCTCTAGATTTTAGATATGGGTGTGTAGGAGGTGTTAGAATGTCCCACATTGGTTGAGAAATAAAGGTGTTGTCTCCTTATATGGTCTAAGCAATTCACATCTTTTATGAATTAGCTTTAGGGGTTGAATTAGACCCAATGACCATATTCTAATGGTTACAAAGCAAACAAGCAACTTTCTGGAGAGCTTTGGTGCTGCAAACTCTTTCTTACACCTCATTGTTTATTTCTGCTATCTGATCTATTGGACTACTCTATGAAATAGTTTAACTTCACATGTTTAGCTTCCAACCCCTTCTATATCATGTTATCTCCTCTCTCTACTCTTCCGGAATCTCCATATATTCTCAGAAAGAAGTCTTCAACTTATTCCAATCTTGGATTGCCATCCTGAAACGTTGTATCAGATGAGCCATGTGCATGCTCCATCTCAAAGAATCAGCTACTTTAGCACCAGTCTCGTTCACTAACCATATATCAGTAGCTGTTCTCTAAGGTTTGCCTCCAACATCCATGCATACATCTAGGGGATCTCCCTTTTCTTGTCATAATCCCCTTCCCAAACTTACTCCAGAACTTTGGCTCCTTAACCAGAAAACCACCCTTTGTCTACTTTCTCATATTTAATAGATATAATCTCTCCATGGAGTGTTTGGTCCATTTCCCAAGAAGTGCTAACTGGAATAGTGGATGACAAACAAACCCAACTACAAAATTATGTAATACCAGCTAACTTGTCTGACCCATTTCTCTGTAAGTGGGTCAAGCCCGATAACAACCCGTTAGTAGTCGCCGACGAAAGCATCAACAAGACCAAATTTTGTGACCCAACAACAGCTTGGTTAGGCCAAGATAGGTGTTGGAGAATGTTGGTTGACAGCCTTAGAAACCCGTTAGTAGTCGCTGATGAGAGCATCAACAAGACCAAATTTGTTGGTTACCCACTATACTCCAGCCAGGTTAAAAAACATACACCATTTTTGTCACGTCTCTTTGCTTTGTTAAGAACAGGTATCCTATGGTTTCATTTGATCCACACAAAAAAGCATCTGCTGCAGATCTCAATGCCTCATTTCTGCAGGTTTTCATGTGTTAAACATGGTATATGTGATTTAGCCATCTGAAACAAGCTGTCTTGCGGTGGGGGGTCTTTGGTCTTCCATATCATCTTCCAAAGCCATAGATAATCCTTTCTGAGCCATGACTCGAACAAGTTCTCTTACAGACCTTTTTTTTGGATGGATCTTTACATCTATTAAAGATGCCAATATTGCCTTTTCTTTTGCTCCCATGTTAATTTCGTTCCTACCCTCTGTTTTCTTTTGTTTAACCACCTTTTGTGATTCAGGTTTGAGAAAATCGATAAATGCTTTAGCCAGGATACAGTTGAGGAAATTATAGAAGCTCTGGTAAGTGCTCTCTCTCTCTTACTCGCTCTTATTGTCCTTTCTTTCTCTAGGTACAAATGCACACCCATTACTTGCAGTGATCTATAATAGCAAATAATAAACTATGCAAACACTAAATTTGATACACTGCTCCAAACTGTTAACTAATCTTGAGTGAATGCAAAACTGAAGAGCAAGATTAAGATGGAAAACTCCATTTGATTTAATCTTCAAAATTTACACTACTTGGACCTTTTGTAAGAGATGGCAAATCTTCTTGAACAGGATGAGTATAACTTGAATAACAAAAACTATATCTTCAGGACTATCCATTGCTGATGGTACAGGAAACAGTGCTTTCCAAATGGTTCACAGTGTTTCAATACGTACTTCTGGGGTTCAACACTTAATGCTTGGCACAACTTTCTGATAGTTAAACTCAGTAGACCTTGTTATGCCACAAACCCAAACCGTTGTACACATTTGTATAAATTGTCCTTATTTAGTTTCTAGGTCTTTTTTTTTGTTTCATTTTTTGGTCTTAAAGCATGATAATAGAAGTTTTAGGACATTGTTTGAAGAACTTTCCTCCTGGATATTGATCTTTGAAATTTGTTTCGCTGACACTTTTGGTTGATTTAATGTTTTACGTCAGAAGAAAAAGTATGTGTGTTTTCTGATCTCGGAAATCTAGTTTAGGTGTTATTGACAGTCTGGTTGATTTCCTTTGACTAGGGGTTGTGGGAGATGGTATCTGCTTATACATGCTTTATGGGCTTTAGTATTCTTAAATATTTGCTTGTCTCTTTTTTACTTGCACCAAGTTCCTTCACTGTCGCAAAATGCAGGAAAGAGAGGCAGCAGAATCTCATGATGAATGGTGCAATACAGCTCTTAATAAAATAAAAGAAGCCTCTCCATTGAGCTTGAAAGTGGCTTTGAAATCAGTAAGCTGCTAACCGTTTCCATTGCTTTTGCAATCTAGTTTTTTGGGGTTTAAAATTTCTTTTTGCTGCCAAAATGTAGATAAGAGAAGGCAGATTTCAACCCCTTGATCAGTGTCTAGTTCGTGAATATCGCATATCAGTTAATTGGGTGTCCAAACGGATGTCTGATGACTTCTGTGAGGTATGTCTTCCTTGACAATTGTCTGTATGAAGTTTGTATGCATTTTTTAGTAGACTTGTAGAAGTTTAAATTAAAAGAGAACTTCAGATAAAAAATTTTAGTTTTTATAAACCTTGCGATTTTACTGTCATTTACTTAACAAGTCAACTTTTAAGGTTATATTGTTATTGGAGGTGCTCTTACCTGTATACTTAATCTTATGTCGCATCTTATTCCATGTAATATGATTCATAATTCCATAGATTGTGCAGAGTTTTATATCCGAAACCAACTTTTGTATTGGCAATATAGGGTTGCATTTAGTAATGTAGGTTTCATAGAGAAATCTAACATGCTGATATGTCAGTACTATTTTTCCTTATAACTCAAACCAGCAAATGTAACATTTTCCATCGCTACGTTCTCCACTTACACCCCCCCCCCCACCCCCACGCGTATTGGATATGTTGTAAAAATCCTCCAAATTTAGCTCTAAGGAAACATAGCCTCTTCTGCTACTAAGCTCCTCTTTAATGTTTCAACCTAGTATAGTCATTTCTTCATGTTATTAAGCTATGAATTATGATACTTATCCGCAAAAACATTTTCAGGGTGTCCGGGCTAGATTGGTTGACAAGGACTTTGCTCCAAAGGTAATGAACTGTCTTCTGTGCATGCTTAACTTCCTCTCTCCCTCCTCTCTCTTATACTTTTTAGCTAGGGGAAGATGAGAAAACTTATTCGTTCTTGTACTGAACATTCAGTGGGATCCAACACGGCTGGAGAAAGTTCCCAGCAACATGGTTGACTGCTTCTTTACCCCATTAGATGAATTAGAACCCGAACTCAATTTGGCCACTGCAATACGAGAGCCTTCTATGTGATTCATGCCACACTTTGCTCTGCCTACGAGGCATTCTATACTCTGTTGAATCCGTCACAGTAATGGGATCGGCAGAAGACATTCCTATCAAGATGTTGGGTAGTTTTCATTCCCTTGGAGCAGATGTAAACGGCTGAACTGCACTAATGTCTGTTTAGGTATTAGATGGTCGTAAAAGAAGAAAACGTTACGCAAGCTGCAAATTGCTAATTTCCTTCATCTTTTACTCTATATGAGCCATGTTTCTGATGTTGAGAGACCTCTGAAGAATTGCTTTTCATGCAGACATGAAAAGAATATATATCTTGTGAAATAAATTACCAATACCATGGTACCTTAAGAAAGTTTTGCATACATTTGTAGAACCATGGATAAGCGTAGACAATTTTTTTGCAGGAGCAATACTAAATGCATTTGAATGTTGACTAATATTTTAGTCTTATATAGCTAAGCTACATGTTGATTTTAATGTTCCAACGTAAGGTTTGCGTACACCCGAACTCCCCAAACCTTGCTTATGAGACTATATTGTTGTAGTTATCATTCAAGTGAGAAAATAATGTCTTGTGAAATAATGTTTACCAATATCATGGTATGTTCTATTGCTTCATTCTTTTTTGATGACCCATGTAGGGGTGAAAACTTTGGTTCGGTAATTTTGATTTTTCAGTTTTCAAGAATATTATATCATTATTCTACAAAATTTAATCTAGTGTGGTTTAGTATTTTAAGTTTGATTCCGGTAACTATATTTTGTTCAACCTCGACTTAAATATACTTATATGATAAAGAATTGTGCTTTTGCTTTCAAGATACTCTACACTTTACACATAAATTACAAACAATTTCTTTCGTTAATTTATTATACAAAAATGATATTTTAATAAAAATAAAGTAGTCGAAATTTAAAGTCTAAACAACTAATTTTATACTAATACTATTATTTATTACTATCATAATAATCTTTTCTTACTTTTTTTTTTTTTTTTTTCAAATTGCTTTGAATGCTTGTAAATGATAGAATTATTTAGAGAATATGATAAAATAAGTTATGTGTGTAGAGAACTTTTCCAAAATTTATTGCTACATAATTAACTTCTCTATATAATGAGTCTATAAGAATATTATAGGGAGATGAATGTTTTGTTCTAATGAGGATGAAGGATTAAAGGATTAATGTAAGGGTAGATTTAATTCTAAATTAGAAATGTGGTAAATCATAATAAGTCACATGACTATTTTAAAAAGCAAAATTTAACGAAATTCAGGATTTGTTAAAGGGATATTCTTGAATTATTTGATACAATACGACTCAAAGTAGAAGACTAGTAAAACTTCTGTTTTATGCCACGAAAATTGTGGGGTCCTAAAACTTTGGTAATATTGGATTATTAGTTTATATTTTACCTAAAAAATATTAATATTCATAGAAAAAGAAATTACAAAATCTATATAAAAAATAGGCCAAACACATACACAGCCCCTTAAACTTGGCCCAATTTTTCATTTTGGCACTCCAACTTAGCCTTGTTCCATTTTAACCCTTGAACTCCATTTTTTCTGTTCCATTTTAACACAAAATACTATTTTTATGATTCTTTATTTTATATATATTCTTCAAATGCAACTTCTTATTTTAAATCGACACGTGTCAATTAATTTTAGTTAAAAAAAATAAAAATTAACAAAAAATAATTCTTTTTAAAAAATAATAATTTCTTTTTAAGAGTGTTATGTATTTTTGTGTGAAAAATAACCGACGAAATTGTGTTGGTAACATTTTTTAGTAGTGTTATTAGCAATGAACAAGAGTCTTTTTTTACTCGTATTGAAGATGAATTTTTTTATTCGTATTGATTTATATTAAACATTAAAAGTGAGTATTTGCGTTAAATTTAGATAGCCTAGATGATAAGAAAAAATAAATAAGTAGTGTTATTTAATTTAATTGAATGTTTAAGAAAGAAAATCAAAGAACTTTCGTCAATTTATTTTCATGCAAAAATACAGAGAAATCTCAAAAAATAATATTATTATTTGAAAATTTTTATATTCGTTTGCGAATGTTTAATTTTTTTATGAAAATTAACAGGCACACGTCTATTTTTAAAATTTTTTTGTTAATTTTTAATTTTTTTAACTAAAATTAATTGACACGTGTCGATTTAAAATAAGAAGTTGCATTTGAAGAATATATATAAAATAAAGAATCATAAAAATAGTATTTTGTGTTAAAATGGAACAGAAAAAATGGAGTTCAAGGGTTAAAATGGAACAAGGCTAAGTTGGAGTGCCAAAATGAAAAATTGGGCCAAGTTTGAGGGGCTGTGTATGTGTTTGGCCTAAAAAATAAGGAGAGAGATTGTTTTTCTTTTGAGAAATATTTTAGAGTTTGAATTAAACTACTCATATCTTCATAATACTAATAGTAAACATATGACTAACATCTTATTAATTTGAAATAACTTTAATAACGTTATTACTTATTGCTATTAGATTTTAATCATAAACTTAAAAACATGTACTAATATTGCACAATACGTATGGATAAAAAAAGTGACTTATTGTTTGCATAATTTGTATAATACATAACTTCTATTAAAAAACTGAGGTCTTTTATTAAAAGTTAATTACAAATTACTAATTTTATTAAGCCGTCCTACAAATTTAAATGATAAGAGAATATACTTCAAATTTGTGTTATTTGATCTTTTAATTATTTCATTCGACTTTTTAATCATATATGTAATCTCAGTAAATCATGGTAAAAATATATGAAAGAACACATTGTTTAGTCACACTTATAGGAAAAATATTCGGTAAATGAGTTTTTTTTAAATAAAAAATACAGAGATAAATCCGCGATTAACTTTCGATTCCTTAATTTTATGATAACACTATCATCATTTACTATTCTTTTGGTGGACTATATCTCCATTGGTTCCTAAAATTTATAACAATAATCTCAACCTTGTTTTTTAATTGACTGTCAATTTCTAAATTTTATTATAAAAATTTCAGCCTTATGTTTTCCTATTTTGTTGATTGACTATATCTTTTGCTTTTCCTAAATTCTATAACAACCATATCAATCATATTTTTCCTATTTTGTTGATTGACTATATCTACAGATGTTCCTAAATTCTATAACAACAATATCAATATATTTTTTTAAATTATTATTCTATTGTTGACTTTATCTCTACCTTTCTCTATAAATATTCTTCACACTCTTTCAACTTTTTCATCAGTTTCTATTTTCTCTGAATTAGATTTAAAAAGAAGAAAGTTTGTTCGTCAGAATGGTGATTTTAAAGAATCGATCTCTTTGCCTTTTTCTATTTATGTTTTTTCTTGTATTTTTTGAGGTTCATGCGTCACATGAAATAAATCGAAAGCTACAGTCTACCAGTCATAATGTGGTAAAAAAAATCTTAAGACCTAAATTTCACTTCAGACCTCCTAAGCACTGGATCAATGGTATGTCTTTTTCTCTAATCCACTCCGCTATACAATATATATGGACTATTCATATTCATATTCATATTCATATGTAGGATCTAATATATAACGTTTGAGTTCATGTAAAATATAAATCGAAGGAACCTTATTATTTTACTTGTCCTTTTCTTCTTCTTTTATTTTAGTGTTTGAAACACAAATTTTCTGAAATATTATATTATTAATTTATAATATTTTAAATGTGTTCACTTATTTGGGAGAGATAGTTCAATATTTAAATTTAATAGTTCAAGACTTTTCAAATTTAATATTTATTAAAATTTTAATAATTTAATCCACACATATGTGAAAAAATTACTAAAATTTTAATAATTGAACTCGGCAAAAATAAACTAACATGCATGTGTGCTTTTAGCTGCTTATTCATATTTGATTGTCCTTTTTCTTTTTATTTAATTATTTCATTATAGTTATTTAACATAATAAGGTGATCCTTATTCGTATAATATATGCTTTAATACTTGTATATGATCCTTATTCGTGATGATACTAATTAATAAATATATGAGGAGATGTACTGTAAAAAATATGATTATCACAAACAATAGTTAAACAATCATTCTCTTTTAATCTTGATAAAAATTAGTATTATTTTATATAATTGATGCAAACAAGTTTTTACATGATATAATATATATGCAACTAACTCTGCTTTGTGATATTTTTTCAATTGCAATGAAATGCTTTTACTAATCATTTTAATTTAATTCCTTTTTATGTGGTGGTCTTGGCCGGATGGTCCCAACAACAACATTAGATCCCACTGGTAAGATCGAGTTTTATATTTATTAGTTTTCACTATATTTTTACCTAAATCTCAATTTATTTATATTAATTTTTTTTAATAGGTCCAATGTATTACAATGGTATCTATCATCTATTTTACCAGTACAATACAAAAGGAGAAGTGTGGGGCAATATTGTTTGGGCTCATTCAGTATCCATTGACATGATTAACTGGATCAATTTAGAGCATGCAATTTATCCATCAGAAGTGTTCGACAAATATGGTACTTGGTCTGGATCAACCACTATTCTTCCGGGGAATAAGCCTGTTATTCTCTACACTGGAATAGTGGATGACGAACAAACTCAAGTACAAAATTATGCAATACCAGCTAACTTGTCTGATCCATTTCTACGTAAGTGGATCAAACCTGATAACAATCCGTTAGTAGTCGCTGACGAAAGCATCAACAAGACCAAATTTCGTGACCCAACTACAGCTTGGTTAGGTCAAGATGGGAGTTGGAGAATGTTGGTTGGTAGCCTTAGAAAAAACAAGAGAGGATTAGCAATATTGTACCGGAGTAGGGACTTCATGAAATGGACCAAAGCCCAACACCCATTCCATTCAGCTGCTAAAACTGGAAATTGGGAATGTGTTGATTTTTTTCCAGTATCATTGGAGAATACAGATGGTTTGGACACATCAGTTATTGGCAAAAAAATTAAACATGTTCTGAAAGTCAGTCTGGATGATACCAGATGGGACTATTACACAATTGGTACTTATGACACGAAAAAAGATAGATATGTTCCGGACGATACAATGATCGAAGGATATCACGGATTGAGACTGGATTATGGTAATTTTTATGCATCAAAAAACTTTCTATGATCCTAGCAAGAATCGAAGAATTTTGATGGGATGGTGCAACGAATCCGATGTTTTTCCAACAGATGACATCTACAAAGGATGGTCTGGAATTCAGGCTATTCCTCGTAAATTATGGATTGATCCTAGTGGTAAACATTTAGTCCAATGGCCTATTGAAGAATTAGAAACCCTGAGAAAGAAAAAGGTCGAGCTAAGAAATTACAAATTGAACAAGGGAGAAAATATAGAAGTTCAAGGAATCACACCTGCCCAGGTTTGACAGGTTTATGATTTGAATTAATTTTTT